CCAGCTACACTATCCCAACGTCCAGCTACACTATCCCAACGTCCAGCTACACTATCCCAACGTCCAGCTACACTATCCCAACGTCCAGCTACACTATCCCAACGTCCAGCTACACTATCCCAACGTCCAGCTACACTATCCCAACGTCCAGCTACACTATCCCAACGTCCAGCTACACTATCCCAACGTCCAGCTACACTATCCCAACGTCCAGCTACACTATCCCAACGTCCAGCTACACTATCCCAACGTCCAGCTACACTATCCCAACGTCCAGCTACACTATCCCAACGTCCAGCTACACTATCCCAACGTCCAGCTACACTATCCCAACGTCCAGCTACACTATCCCAACGTCCAGCTCCCAACGTCCAGCTACACTATCCCAACGTCCAGCTACACTATCCCAACGTCCAGCTACACTATCCCAACGTCCAGCTACACTATCCCAACGTCCAGCTACACTATCCCAACGTCCAGCTACACTATCCCAACGTCCAGCTACACTATCCCAACGTCCAGCTACACTATCCCAACGTCCAGCTACACTATCCCAACGTCCAGTTCTGCTACGCCAACGTGTCACAACTCACACATCGCCCCTTCAGCACACCCGTTTATTGTCACAACTCACACATCGCCCCTTCAGCACACCCGTTTATTGTCACAACTCACACATCGCCCCTTCAGCACACCCGTTTATTGTCACAACTCACACATCGCCCCTTCAGCACACCCGTTTATTGTCACAACTCACACATCGCCCCTTCAGCACACCCGTTTATTGTCACAACTCACACATCGCCCCTTCAGCACACCCGTTTATTGTCACAACTCACACATCGCCCCTTCAGCACACCCGTTTATTGTCACAACTCACACATCGCCCCTTCAGCACACCCGTTTATTGTCACAACTCACACATCGCCCCTTCAGCACACCCGTTTATTGTCACAACTCACACATCGCCCCTTCAGCACACCCGTTTATTGTCACAACTCACACATCGCCCCTTCAGCACACCTGTTTATTGTCACAACTCACACATCGCCCCTTCAGCACACCCGTTTATTGTCACAACTCACACATCGCCCCTTCAGCACACCCGTTTATTGTCACAACTCACACATCGCCCCTTCAGCACACCCGTTTATTGTCACAACTCACACATCGCCCCTTCAGCACACCCGTTTATTGTCACAACTCACACATCGCCCCTTCAGCAGCCCCTTGATCTGCCTTTCCTGTGTGTGTTCGGTTCCAGCCACCAGTTTGTAACGTATAAATCATCTTATACCGTTCGTCCCTTACCGGCTTGTCATCTGCTCTCATGAGCTTCCCCTTCTGCTGTCTCTGGATCTGGCTCACATCCGACCGCTCTATCCCAAACCGCTAGACAGAAGGTGATAGTGCATAAGCAATGTTGACTTCTTACCGGTTTGTCATCAGCTCTCATAAGCTTCCCTTTTTGCAGTCTCTGAATCTGGCTCACATCCGTCTGCTCTATCCCAAACCGTTTCCCCACCACCGCCTGCGGTAGCTTCCCCCTCAATGCCACAATTTCGTTGATCTGAGGGATAAGGAAGGGTGAGAGGGGCAAAGCGACGTGGGTTAAGGCAGGGACAGATGAAGGGACAGAAGGAATTGCGTCTCTCTGCCATCAATTTGGCGATAGTCACGTGTGACTGATTTGTGGGGAGAAAGAGGGAACGACGGGGGGTCGGTGAGACGCCAAAGAGGAGGCGACCAGGGGGAAAAGAGAGGGAAAGTTGGGGAAAGAAAAACATCGGAGGAGAGAACGGAGTTTGGACCGTGTTTTGAGTCGAATCAAAACACGGCTCATTTCACGAGGAAGGAGGGAGCGACGGGGGTTGGGACGCCAAAGAGGAGGCGACCAGGGGGAAAAGAGAGGGAAAGATGGGGAAAGAAAGACAACGGAGGAAAAGAAGGAGTTTGGTCAGCCAGCCCATGAAAACGAGGATATCAGGAACACCTAACGGGTTACACACAGTGACGTGAGTCACAGGTGAGAGCTGCACTCTCACACACCACACCTCCACCAAGAAACACATTTCAGCACGGACCCCCTCGGGTGGGAGGTCCACCTTTGAGGCACCTCATATAGTGATGCGGTTTTTTATACTTTTCAAATAACAAGCTTCAGCACAAACCTCCTCGGGCGTGAGGTCCACCAATCTTTTTTTCCGCTTTGACATGTCCTCTCCGCCTCTACCCCAGCCTCCGCCACGCCCTCCCCTTCCCCCTCCCCCTCCCCCGCGCTCTACCGGAGGACCCTCCGCTCCCGCCCCTTGCATGTTTCGTCAACTGGCGGTGACTGCCGAAACTGCGTGTGCTGGCACTGACACTTAGCGAGATATTAGTTGAGTAAATTAGGTCAACGGAAATCAGTGGGAGTGTCGGTTAAGAGGAAGAAAGGACATTTTGCATCAGCGAAGCTAGTTGCAAGTGCAGTGAAGTGGTGACTGTAGCGAAACCGCTTTAGGAGTTGCGGCAAAGCCTACTACAATATCGTTCGCTGTAGCCACGTGCAGTAGGCCGACGGCGAACTTGATAACATTGAGTCTTTGCGCTTGCACTGACACTACGAGAAAATTCGCCGCGTAGCCTTAGGTCTACAGGTCTACGGGAATCAGTGAAAATGTCGTCTAATGGCGGTGACTGGCAGTAATTCCCGGAAAGGGTGAGCTTGCCCTGACACTGAGAGAAATTCGTCGCGTAGCCTTAGGTCTACGGGAATTAGTGGGAACGTCTTTTAAGAAGAATAGGGCTTCAAGATTCAGCTGAACTGGTTACGGCTTCTTGCGAATGCACGGAAGTCGATAGCAGCAGCAAAAGTGCGAAAGCGCTAACCGATGTTGCGTAAGCAAAACTGCTGTGTCTCTTGCGCCAAATCCTTTACGATCTCGTTCATGCTTCTGGTGTGAAATCGCGCGGGCCACATGTACACATAGCAGCACAAAGAACCCACGACGTACTTCAACACAATCAGCTTTCGCAGGACAAACTCCCTCAGCGACAATGAACTAGGTTACCGTCCTTGTCGAGGGATTGAGGTGATTCGCCAATGACCGTATGGGACGGCGGATCGTGCTGACATCCCATCAATGAGCACTCATTGGTCGGGCGGGCGCCTACTTTGCGCCAACCCGCAATTTTTGGAGCCGAAAGGCGCAAACCCCCAAACGGGGGACTGCCTTCATCAAGTACTGTGAGTGACCGCTCCGCTTGTAATATTGACTCGGCTGAAAGTGAACAGTAACTAAATGCAAAGCCCATTTCAATCTCCATATGGAAAATGAAAGAATTTCCAGGTTTGGGAATTTGGACACAATTTGCATGCTGAGCTGATTAGGTACTCCTCATTTATTTCGTTAATGATGTACAAATTCTTTCTCCAGCATCAGCATACGGTAACACCATTTACACCTGCAAGAGGGAATGAGTCAAATACATGGCAGCATCAACAAGATGGTACCCAACCGGTCTCAATTCTCACCAACGAGGTGAATATAGTCACCAAAGGCTTCTCGAGCCTCTTCTACAGTCTCAATAACCTCCATCTTGTTATTCTCAGGAAGAGCCATGGCATCTGTTCCGTCAAACTTGGCAAAAAGCTCCGCATCTGTCAGGTACAGCACACGGTGAACGTCTCCTCCAGGCGTGGACAGAAAATCTCCTGCGTTTACTTCCAGAGTGGTTCCTTTGGTCACATTCTGAACAATCTGGCGACCTGAAATCAGGTATACGTCGTGGGTCAGGATGTGATGGTGAGCTGGCTCTATGAAACCCGCTTTGAACTTGAAAAACGCCGTTGTAGGACGGAGAAACTTAAGAGTTACACCAGGATACCCTTCCACGGGGAAGAGCTCACGATCACCAGCACGGTCATAAATCATAGGAAGGCCTTCAGTATCACTTGCTGAGGTCTTCGTTGCTTCGTTTTCCACAATAACGTTCCCAGTATTGTTGTCAGAAGCATTACATTTCGTCGACGTCGCTCTGCATTCGACTGCAGCCATGCCGTATTTCATCTTCCTGGCTTCACAGACACGATAAACACCCTCCTGATGCAGGCGAGCTGGAGCTTTGAAAACGTTGCTAGGCTGATTGAGCTTCACAAATGAAGGACGATGAATAGCTGAAGCTACCAGGCCTTTGCCGGGATAAACACACCTCTTCATCTGTAAAGAAATCATTGTTGTTAACCTCCTTTTGAGAAATGAACTCATGAAATCCTTGCGAACTCTTTATGCGTGAGGTGATAAGTCTTCACGACGGTTTTGAAGCCACCGGAATAAAACGTGGATTGAGGCGCATCCTTCCACACGCATACGACAGGCCAGCAGCGAACTCGGCATTCCCTTGCGTGTAGGTTATGCTAAGAGAAAGAAACTGCGGCTTACACTACAAATCAGAGTCTACAAGAGCTCGATGTTACCAACTGAAATGCAGAATCACAGCGATAACCCGACAACAAGCTGAGAGAGACCTCCCTGACGTTCACGGAAAGCATGACCAGTAGGAAATCACTGCTGCTTGGCCCACTCCTGTCTGGGGGCACCATGAAATCTGAGAACCTCGATGTTAGCTGACGCGAGACTGTAGGTGTTTCGACGCCCCAGAACGACCATAAGGGCGCGTGTCTTTTGGTGTAGATTGTCAAAGTTTGAGCCTAATACCGCTTTGTACCGTGGCGACACGACTCTCAACTGTATCCTACCGTGTACAGCCTTTCTAGAAGTTCTAACTTTGGCAAACGTTCGACCTCAAGGACACACGCCCTAATATCTTACCATAAAACTATGTTTCCGTGCAAAACAGAACTAAGAATTTTGATTATTGAGCATCTTGGTAACGTCTTGGCCCGCAGAAGCACATAGTAGTACAGTATGCAACATGCAACCCGTTCAGTACGGCACACATCGCTCCCTTCCGTTCAGTTCTCGAAATGGGGTGTACTGAAAGCTAAACTTGGGGATTTATTGGGGGTTGAAGGCGCAGGCCTGCTCGAAGATGAGCTGGCGGATGCGGGGGATGTCATACTCCTCCTGCTCGAAGCTCAGGTCGAACTGGAAGGGGTTTGGGTGCGGCGGGTCCTGGTTCGCCTTGTGGTAGTGCGCCAGGTACGGGTGGGCCAATGCCTCGTCAACTGTGATTCGCCTTCTCGGGTCGAACACGAGCATGCGCTGCACCAAGTCAGCCGCGGGTTCCGACAGCTTGGGGAACACGTCCCTGATGTTCCGCGCGGGGAAGCCCTGTAGCTCTGAGAGCAGGAAGGTGCGGGCGGCATCGTTGACTATGAAGGAGGCGTCCTCTGCAGATGGAGATCCTATCAGCTGGTGTGGTGACAGCAATGCAGGGGGAGATGGAGAACAAGTGGGGGAAAAAAGCACAAGAGGGAAAAAGATAAGGCAAGCCCTGCAGCTCTGGGGGCAGGAAGGTGCGGTCGGCATCGTTGACTATGAAGGAGGCGTCTTCAACTGATGGAGATCCAATCAGCTGGTGGGTGAAAGGAGAACAATTGGGGGAGCAAAGCACAAGAGGGGAAAATGTAAGGAAAGCCTTGTAGGAAGCAGGAGGCCCTGCTCACTCTCACCCCTACCCATACTCCCCTCTGCTGTCCCTCCTCCCTTCAGCCGCACCTCGCAGGTCTTGCGGAGCTGGTCCACGTAGTTATCGCCTCTGAGCACAATGTGCCCCAGCACGAGCTCCAGATAGATGAGCGCCACGGACCACACGTCGATGGAAGCGCTGTACTGCTGGTTGTTCACCAGCAGCTCGGGAGCGCGGTAGTATCTGGTAACCACATATTTCGTCAGGTGGTCGGTGGTTTCCACACGGGTTCGCGCAAGGCCGAAATCGGTGATCTTGATGTTGCAGCGCCCGTCGATGAGGATGTTGGGGGGCTTTAAGTCGCGGTGCAGGATGTTGGCGGAGTGGATGTACTTGACTCCCTTCAGTAACTGGAAAAGGATGCGCTGGGGAGAGAAGAGGGAGGGGGAAGAGATCGGGGTAGAAGCATGGCATTTTTGTGCCGGGAGAACGAAAAAGGGAAGGGAAAAGAGGGATGTTGGCCGAGTGGATGTACTTGGCGCCTCGAAGCAGCTGGAAGAGGATGGGCTGGGGAGAGGAGGGGAAGGGGGCACACACTGCCACACACACACCTTGCACTGCCACACACACACACCGTGTAGTGCCGTTCATCCATGTCCTGCCCAGACCGAATGATACCATGCAGGTCCGTGGGCATGAGCTCATACACAATTGCACCCCAACAACTGCTGTCATACCTTGTATTCCCACAGCTCACGTTCTATTGTTAATACCTTGAACTGCCTCCCACACACACACCGTGTAGTGCCGTTCATCCATGTCCTGCCCGGACCGAATGACCCCGTGCAGGTCCTCGGGCATGAGGTCATACACGATATACACGTCCTGGAAGCTCTGCGGGTTGGGCGGACGGATGACGTCCTTGATGGCAATCACCTGGGGGGGGGGGGGTGGCGGTGAATGGGAGGGGAGTGGGATGGGCGTGGGAGGGCAACGCAGGCATGAGCTCAAACACAATTTACATGTTCTGTTGCGGAGGAGCACAGTCTGACTTTCCAATAGTGTGAGAGTGCTCACCTAACCACAGCGACTGTTTTTTGAGTCGACTCAAAAGCAACGCAGGCATGAGCTCAAACACAATTTAGATGTTCTGTTGCGGAGGAGTACAATCTGAATTTTCAAGAGTGTGTGCCTAGGAGTGCTCATCTATCCACATAGTCTGCTCACATTGGGGTGGTTCATGTTGCGGAGGATCAGAATCTCGCGGAGAGTCCGCTTGGCATCTGTGCGGTCGTTGAACGCGTTGCCGATCTTCTTGATCGCCACCTCCTCCCCGGTCGTCTCATCTCGTGCAGAGCTGATGGAAAAAAAAAAAAAAAAAAAAAAAAGAGAGAGGCAAAAACAACCATATTCGTTATCTCCTTCCAAGTTGTTCAGGCCCTTCCAAAAGTGAGGAAAAGGTGAAATTTCAAAAAATGACATTCATAAGAAATTCGCTCAGAGCTCAGAATAGGTCGATCATAAAGAGGGGAAAGAAGTGAACGGAATTGGGTGAGATCAATACTCAAGTCCGGTAAGCAAGGAGTGGTAACGAGTCAAGAATGTGATTCAAATGAAAGTTAGTGATGACGACTAGAATATCGCTTTCTTATAGCTCCCAGTGATTCTAATCATACCGCTGACTCAACATTCCAATAATTCGCACAGTCGCGCTGGCGTCACGCTTCATTCTAATACCCATGACTCACCAAACAACACCATAGGCTCCTCGGCCAAGGGGGAAGAGCGGGACGTAGCGCACGGGAACCTCGAAGTTGATTCCGGAGATGCTGTAGCGTCTGTAGCGGCCATCGTACGTCAGCGTACCCTCACTGACGATTTGCACGCCGTCTAGCGGCCCTTGCGACGCGTCTGATTGGTTCATTGTCGCGTCGTCCTGCCGCGAAATGGATGAGATCAGAAGGGATCAGAAGGAATTTGTGAGAATGGGCATTTGAGACGCATCAGAGCTTGAACGCATTGTGTTTCGTGTGGGGCGCCTTTCCCGGTGCATCGTCTCGTCTCCCTGCGGCGAGATGGACCGGAAGGGAAGGGTGTGGTGAGCATAAGACGTGTCTTAGACGTGTCAAGGCTTGCGAAGCGCTGCTATTAGAGCATTATCACGTATCCCTGCCGCAATATAAATCGGATAGGAAGAGTAATGGTAAGATTGTTTGAAAACAAAATCATTCCATTGAATCAACATTGCGATTAGCCGGAAATAATTGTATCCATCCTGCTAGCATGACATCAATTTCGGAATACAGCTGGGATGTGTAATTGTCACAACACGATACTGACCGGAAATTTCTACGACTTGCGTGAACCATAGCAGGATATTTTCCAAGCACAACTTAATGCACATGAAATGCGAAAGAAGAAAGTTAGTAATATTATTGGGAAGAGCCAACCTGCGGCCGTAGGACTTCGGAAGCCATTATTGATATGCAGCGTGATGGCAGGACAATACACAACGCCGAGCCTCGTTCTCGTTCCCTAAGAAGTCACGAAATTCGGAATGCGAAACGCTGAAGTCTGTGTGGAAGCAAGGCGCGTGGATGCTGTGAATGAGAACACAGCGATCGTGTAATGGTGGCCATTTGTAGAGGTCGCTTCACGAGTACAAGCTACGTAGAGGAGCAAATAGCTTCTCACGAAATGGTAACTCGTGTACAAAACTGGGAAATGCTTCAAGCTGCAAGCTTCAAGCACAAAAGACGGGAGTCCAGAAAGTCTGGTTGTAGCGGAATTTCATGTGGGAAGCCTAAAACATTCGTACCGTTCATTTGTGGTTGCGCAAAACGATTCCACGCGGTGCACAGCGGTTATCAGGCTTTCAGTTTCAAACCTTGACGCAACGAGAGGAACCGCACGTGATGAAATGAAACGAACTGCGCTGACCTCGCCCCCGCCTCAAATTCCGAAGGGAAGTGGACTGAATAAATATGATTTGACCTTTTTGAACCGCAGCGGAACTTACTGAACCACATTCAATCGTGCAATTACGACACCCGCCTCTGTTCAGGAACATCGACTTAGGGTGCATTCCTGGTTGGTGGCAGGGCAACTGTTCACATCGAGTTGGTGGCAAGTGTACCCAAAAATTCAGTGGGCCGGACAATGCGCCTGCCACCAACAGTGCGATGAACAGTGCCCTGCCACCAACCAGGAATGCACCCTTAGCCGCATTGGAGACACCATTGGCGTGTGTTTGCTTGCGTTTAGGTGCTTGAAGTGTTCCTTCCTCGTTATAAAGGAATGGAGGGAGGTAAAAATGCTTTTATGCGCCTGTGAAGGAGACTTCCAACTTTTGCACTGCGCCTATAACCGTGGAGCGGCAGTGCTCAAAGTGCATGTGCCTAACATGCGCCCGCTCCTCTGTCCGAGGTCTGGCAGTAGCTGGTCCTGAAAATCCATATTGCCGCAATTCCCCATCTTTTAACCAGGCAGTCCATTACCCCAAGTACTGACGGCATCAATCCTGATTGTCCTTGATGCAGCAGGTATTAGATTTGTCTAAGATGCCTTGGATTTGAGCCAAGAAACGATATCATCCCCATCTCGTGCCAGCCATGCTGCACGAGCCCTGATCGTCTCAAGTGTCCGATCCAGTTCCATCGCCGCAGCTGGGACCGGATGGGCGGCGAAGAAAGCCTCCGCATCACGAGCCTTGTCCTCAGTGGCAAACCCCTTGAGGGGCAGAGCTGGTATGCGCTGCAAGCAACAGATTCACGTGTTGGCAAGATACAAGAAATAGAGATGGATTGATTGTTGAAATTGCAACAAATTCCTCAGCAGGCCTGTTATCTGTGGCTACGCCGGTTGTGTTTTTGAGAGGGGGGTACCAGAACAGAAACATAAATGACGTCACAAGGTGACTATATCAGCTATCCGGCAAGGTATTGACCTGACCTTATAATGCACAAACCACAAGACAATGAGATGTTGACCAAACTGAGAAGACAACAGAAAACAAAAAGAAAACCTCACAGATTTCACTGCAGAAAAAAAAGGCCTCACCGCAAACAAGGCAGCAGCAGAGGCGAAGCGAGCATGAATGGCATCGAAATGCTCCTTGAAATACTCCCATGCGTACTCGCGGTTGTCAGCATTGCCAGCCATGGTCATGAAGACAATGCTGTGAGGGGTTGCATGGCATGGGGGAGCGGCCACGGAGGAAGGGGGGGAAGAGGAGGGGGGAGGGGGTGGGGTGTATACAGACTTGGTTAATAGAGTGGCTCACCTTGAAAAGGGCAGCAGCAGAGGCGAAGCGAGCATGGATGGTGTCATAGTGTTCCTTGAAATACTCCCATGCGAACTCGCGATTGGCTGCGTTGCCTGCCATGGTCATGAAGACAATGCTGCAGGGGTGGGGGGGGGAGTGGGGTGATGAACCCAACAGAATGATCCTTGAAACACTCCCATGCGGATTACCAATTGACTCCATTGCCTACCATGGTCATAAAGACAGTGCTGCAAGGAGGATAGGGAACAGAGGTGAATTTAGAGTTGGCTCAGAAGTTGCCTGCCGCAATCACGATTACCCAGAGATTGCTTTCCATGATATGACCACATGTGGACAGGATGGGGAAGCAGGGTGTTCATTCAACTCGGACTTTGCCTGAACAGAATGCCGAGTTGGGGGTTAGAGGGGGGAACAGAGGGAGGAAACTGAAAATAATGCCTCCGACATGGGATTTCAGGGTGCATAGAGTCGTGAAATCCCATGCATGATCCGTTTGCAGTTCATGATCCTTGACGTGGAAAAAGGATTAGAATTCTCTAAATCCTGAGATACTTACTATTGGTCCTGCGCCTTCACTTCAGTCTCGTCAAGGGCGAACGCCAGGAAGTCCTTGTATAGCTCACGGTCTTTCACAGAGGAGAGTGCTGCTCATAGGGTATATAGGCATTGGTGGCATTGGTGAAAAGGGAAACAGAGAGGATGGGAGGGCTAAACGTAAGGTATATTGAATATAGCAGTTAGAACGCCAGGAAGTCCTTGTAGAGCTCACGGTCTTTCACAGAGGAAAGTACTGCTCATAATGTGTGGGCATTGATGGGAAAAGAAGCAAATAGTATGGAATTAAAAAGGGAAGCACATTATAATTTCCCCGCAGAGCTTCCCTGCAGAGCTTGCTAGCATTGCACACATCACGAGAATGGCTCGGGCAGCTCAGATGATTTCCTGTGTCGCGCTCAAACACCTATTTCTCAAGTGCCTCTACGATTGGTACTTTAGGTTACTCCCAGAAGCACGTACCAACGAGGCAGTGGATCTTGAAGTCAGGCGTGGTTGCCTCCCTGTAGAGCTTCTTAGTGGCCTCCATCTCCGCCTTTCCTCCGTACTTCACAGCAACAGACATGACCACCCGACGCAGGTCAGGGTTGACCGAGCTGAAGGGTGACAGACAGGGGGGGGGGAGAAGGAGAGAGCAGTTGCAGATAGAGAGTGGTCTGGCCTCCATCTCCGCCTTTCCTCCGTACTTCACCGCCACAGACATGACCACCCGACGCAGGTCAGGGTTGACCGAGCTGAAGGGTGACAGACAGGGGGGGGGGGAGAAGGAGAGAGCAGTTGCAGATAGAGAGTGGTCTGGCCTCCATCTCCGCCTTTCCTCCGTACTTCACCGCCACAGACATGACCACCCGACGCAGGTCAGGGTTGACCGAGCTGAAGGGTGACAGACAGGGGGGGGGGAGAAGGAGAGAGCAGTTGCAGATAGAGAGTGGTCTGGCCTCCATCTCCGCCTTTCCTCCGTACTTCACCGCCACAGACATGACCACCCGACGCAGGTCAGGGTTGACCGAGCTGAAGGGTGACAGACAGGGGGGGGGGAGAAGGAGAGAGCAGTTGCAGATAGAGAGTGGTCTGGCCTCCATCTACGCCTTTCCTCCGTACTTCACCGCCACAGACATGACCACCCGACGCAGGTCAGGGTTGACCGAGCTGAAGGGTGACAGACAGGGGGGGGGGAGAAGGAGAGAGCAGTTGCAGATAGAGAGTGGTCTGGCCTCCATCTCCGCCTTTCCTCCGTACTTCACCGCCACAGACATGACCACCCGACGCAGGTCAGGGTTGACCGAGCTGAAGGGTGACAGACAGGGGGGGGGGAGAAGGAGAGAGCAGTTGCAGATAGAGAGTGGTCTGGCCTCCATCTCCGCCTTTCCTCCGTACTTCACCGCCACAGACATGACCACCCGACGCAGGTCAGGGTTGACCGAGCTGAAGGGTGACAGACAGGGGGGGGGGAGAAGGAGAGAGCAGTTGCAGATAGAGAGTGGTCTGGCCTCCATCTCCGCCTTTCCTCCGTACTTCACCGCCACAGACATGACCACCCGACGCAGGTCAGGGTTGACCGAGCTGAAGGGTGACAGACAGGGGGGGGGGAGAAGGAGAGAGCAGTTGCAGATAGAGAGTGGTCTGGCCTCCATCTCCGCCTTTCCTCCGTACTTCACCACCACAGACATGACCACCCGACGCAGGTCAGGGTTGACCGAGCTGAAGGGTGACAGACAGGGGGGGGGGGAGAAGGAGAGAGCAGTTGCAGATAGAGAGTGGTCTGGCCTCCATCTCCGCCTTTCCTCCGTACTTCACCGCCACAGACATGACCACCCGACGCAGGTCAGGGTTGACCGAGCTGAAGGGTGACAGACAGGGGGGGGGGGAGAAGGAGAGAGCAGTTGCAGATAGAGAGTGGTCTGGCCTCCATCTCCGCCTTTCCTCCGTACTTCACCGCCACAGACATGACCACCCGACGCAGGTCAGGGTTGACCGAGCTGGTAGCGGTGTGGTGGGGCGGCAGAGAAGGGGGAGATAGTAGAACACCTTCATATGCGAAGCATGGACGCTCAAACGAAGGAGTGCGGCATAGATGCTCACAC